CCACAATGCATCCTGGCTTCCTCCCCTCTGCCCTGGAGATAATTGAGAAGTAATTCAATTATCTCCCAGGACAAAGGCAAATCGCCATTATGCACGTGGGGATACTAAAATAGGAATTACTGTTAAAATACACTATGTGACAAAAGTTACACTAAATATACACATTTAACATAGCCCCAGATAGCTCAGGTCTGAGCGCACATTATTAACCGAATGGCGCTCAGACCACATGAATACAGTTTAATCGCCATGGAGCCAAAGTCTTTATTTCTACGAACAGGCTCCATGGCAGGCTATCTGGGTACTTTCACACCGAATACATTGTAACACTAAAAGTCCTGAATGCTCCATTGTTCGGTTTTGCAGACTTCCAGCCTCAGCGGGGCTTGGAAGACAAAAGTGTCCGCTTTTGGTGTCCTGCCGCTGGGTAGAACAAGCACTGGCTACCCGGGGAGTTTCCATAAGGTATAACCGCGACCACCCAGTAATTGTCAATTAAGCTGCGGTTAACCGCAGCTTCTGGGAGGTAAATCGCCGACACACTCCAGCTCCCAGGCGGTCCAGTCATTCGTGCGGTTGTTCGGTAGATTGAATCTACCGAACACCGGGCAGAAAAGCACGAATAAGTCTTTTCCGCAGGGGAAAAGAGGTCTTTTAACATGGGGCCATAATGTTAGGCAACAGGCGAGCAACCAGGCTTTTACAATGCAATGTGGCGAGATTGCTCTCGTCACAGCCACCAATCTGAAAAATTCAAAGGAATCATCCTAAACATATATTGCCATTTGGGGAGAATATATGAATGGATTATATTAACTCTTCCCATCCAAGATGTTTCTATATTTCTCCAGTTGTTTAACAAATGGCTAGTATGACGAAGAAGTGACAAAAAAAAGATTTCTCTAAAACTATTCAAATCTCTTGATAATGCTATTCCTAAATAGGGCATATCTTTTTTCATCCAAGTGAAATTATATTTGGATCTAATATCTTGTTTTAAACTATCGTCTAAATTAAGATCCATTATTATTGATGTGTCTATATTATATATATAGTTTGCTATTTGTCCATATTCTTTTATCTCCTTCATAAGTAAATCTAATAACCTATTTGGCTCTAAGATTGTAATCCGTAAGTCATCAGCATACATATTTATTGTTTGTTCCCCTTCTTTACAGCTATAACCCCTGATATTCTTATTTCTTATGATATTGGCAAAATACTCAATGAACATAATATAAAGCAGTGGAGACAGGGGACATCCCTGCCTAGTATGTTACTAAGTTTAGGAACCACTAGTCTATAACAATTCCCATGTCCTTATCGTGTGTTGTCATCCCTAATTCGCTTCCATTAAGGGTATGTCAGGGGTGGCGGTCCGGAGACCGGGACCCAGTATGCCTGATCTTGATAGTAGGAGTCACTGTGTGGAAATGGATTATCAGGGCCTGGTGCAGGGTAACCACATGCCCCCTGGTTTTGAACAGGGGGCATGTGGTTGAACAGGGGGCATGTGGTTACCCTGCGGCCACATACCAGGGCCCTGATGCAGCTTCTGCAGATCCCAGGTGCCAGATGACAAGAAGCAGACCTCCCAGGAACTGGATATGGAGGCTCTGCAGCAGATATGTATCCAGTACTAGAAAAAAAGCAAGACTAGAACAGGCACCAAAGAAGATGGCAAGACAAGACTAGAAGAACCCAGAACTAGAGAAGGACAGAAAGCAGAACCCAGAACATGTATACAATACATAAGAAAACATGAACAGGACATGGACAGGGCAGGACATGACAGCACTGTACATGAACTAGGAATACAAGACAAAAAAAAAACAAGACAAGAAATACAAGGCAAAACAAGAGGAGACATAACAAGTACTAATATGTGCAATACACATTGGAGATTTAGACATACATAAATGGCCAAGATGTATGTAGCCCACCACTGCGTCAAAGTACTCCAATTAATGGTGGGTCCTAACTGCCTAGAAATGCATAACTAAATAAACAATAATAAAACACACACAGCACTTACCTGAAAAGAAAGGAGCAGAGGTAATGAAACCACTGCCTGCAGGACCAAACTGAAACAAAAAGGATTAATGGGAAAGGAACGGGTGTGGCAACAAAAAACAAACATTTAAAGGAATCCAAGAGACTGGGAATTCCAGGAACGGAATACAGGAATGAACCCAGAAAAACCCAGCATAAAGAAAACCAGACATCGAATAGAAAACCAGAAAAAACAAGAAATTGTAAAAAGAGTACTGGAGACCAGAAGCCATTGCCAGAAATGATCTGCAGCCAGGAACAGGATGTGACAGGGTATAAATTGATTGTGCATTATTTACGCCGACGTGCATAACTTTGCATTTGTCGACATTAAATTTCATCTGCCATTTGAGTGCCCAGTTCCCCAGTCTATCTAAATCCCTCTGCAAAGTAATATATTGCTCACATTGTATTACTTACAGAGTTTTGTCTCATCTGCAAACACTGAAACATGTCTTGCAATGCTTTTTTCAAGATCATATATAAGCATATTAAACAGAAGGGGTCCCAGAACAGAACCCCGAGGGACACACTTGCCACCTCTGTCCAGCTTGAAAATGTACTATTAATGACAACTGTTTGTACTCTATTTTTAAGCCAATATTCTACTAAGAACAAGAATTTTCATCTAGACAGATTTCCTTGAGTTTGAACACTAATCTATTGTGTGGAACTATATCAAACGCCTTGGCAAAATCCAAATAGATTACGTCAACTGCAACACCCTGATCTATACTTATACTTACTTCTTCATAGAATAAAATCAAGTTAGTTTGACATGACCTGTGCTTTCTTCCTGAAAGAAAAGAATATTGAAAGATTAAAAACAGAGGTTCACTTATTTCCACAGGTCCTTAAGTACTCGTGGATTAATTCCGTCATGCCCTGGAGCTTTGTTTATATTCACTTTCTTTAGTTGCTGCAACACCTTGTCTTGTCAGTAATTATGTTTATGATTGTCACATCACAGTTTCATGTTAAATGTTTGATTAGAAGCTGTGAGACCTACCTCACTCAGTCGATCGGAAATATTTTTGGAGTATCCAACAGCACTAGTCAAATTGGTAGGTGTCAGCTTTGTAAGAACATGGTTTGTTGTAACCAACACTTTGTCCTCATTTGATATCTTGAATGATGGTCTTGGTCCAGGTGGGTTGAAGAATTTTCCAAAAACTACACTGTTTTCCTTTCTTATATCCTCAGCCAAGCCTACCTCCCAATGGTCATCATAGTCTCAAGCGACATAGTCATTATAATGTAGGATTGGTAGGACAGATTTCATCACTGCATGTTTTTCAAACTCTTGTGATGCAGTTGTAAACGATTAATGAATAATTTTTCCTAAAAGTCATGGAGGATGATATACTCAGACTGAATATGGTTTGAGACTGAGCCTTAGGATTGAAATGGTGTATCTTTAACACATTAATTTTCTCAGCCAGAGAAACAGAGAATTCATCTTTCTAGTGAAGGACAGTGATGATATCTGCTCCATTAGTCATAACCCACAATTTAAAGGTGATATTCAGGAAGTGTTATTTTTTTTGTGACTTGCACAGCTGGTAGAAAATAAAATAAAAAATTGGTTTTGTTTTCAATCAGTTGCCAACTTGCTTTATAGGTTTTTATCACAGGGGCTGCATAAACAAAGTGGTTTAACTCCTAAATGGCAGAGAATTGAATAGTAAGACTGCAGGAGCATGATCTATACACCAAAACTGCTTCATTAAGCTAACGTTGTTTTAATGCCTATAGTGTCCCCGTAAGGTTACTTATAGCTAAACACTTTTGTTTATGGACTTTCTCACACCCTCTCTCATAGAAACAAAAAATTTTCTTGCTAGGTCAAAGGCAACAATTTTCATCACTTTGATAAAAGTGTGTGAAAAACACAAATGAACAGGGAAATTATGTATTTTAAAAACATAAAATAGTATGCACACTGTACAGCCTTTATCTTTTGGATACATTAAAGTAGCAGGAAGCTATGCTTAGCAAAGGACATTTTTTGTTATAAACTATTACACCAGCATGTGATATGACTGAACCATGTGAACCCTTTGTGCCACAATTATAAAGCCAATTTATGATGCTTCTAATTTGATTGTAATACGTTATGACACCTATTAAACGTAGCTGATATGGAGCAAATATTGGCAAACTAAAAAGTGATTTCTTTAGTAAGAACATTGTCTGGTGCAAATATCACATGTGTAGGAAATGACATGTTGAAAACAAATTGCATGGTGTGTTTGTAAGAGAATGACACGTTAATTAATAGCATGACATTTCTGATTTTGAACAATGACAAACTACATACAAGGTTATGAAAAACAACCTTGTACTCACTCGTGGCGTCACTTTGAGACACATTACATGGTGTAGTGACATTATATAGACAGAGTAGCATTACAAATTATTGTTTTAGTGTTTCATATTCCTATGAGTGGAAGATGCTATGTTAAATAATGGTCAAACACTACAGACAAAATGTGGAGATATGTTATCATTGAAATGTCACTGTCACTTGGAGAATGCTTTTTATTTCCCCATAAAGTGCAATAAAGAGTAGGCAATCACTTGTTGGATTCTTTTACTTGGCCGGTAGTGCTATGTTGAATAAAAAGTTGCATGATGAAAATGGTTCACGGGCTATCTGAGATTTTATGACAATCAACTCCTTTTTGACTAAATATGAAATAAAGCAAAGGAAAAGTGTGTGCTGCTACCCCAAGTAAGGGAAAAGAAGATTTGTTAATAAGATTTAATGAAAATGGATATATAAAATATCAAAAAACAGCAGGGAGCAAATTGCTTACTCCACCATGGCAGTAAATGTGATCCAATTTCTCAGCATCTGTGCGGGGGATTCTGATTCCATTGTGTTCGCTGCCTCCCTCATCTGCTTGCACTTCCCGACTGTCTACTGCTGGTTGATTCACTTCAGAATGGCCTCTATAGAGGATACCATGACTGATTTTGTGGCACTTATACACATTGCTTTAAATGCAGATTTTAAGCTCACAGCCAGTCCTATGTTCCTTTTTAGTGGAGTGTATGTTCTACGGTATGTCTGTATTACACCAACTAAACAAGTCTGCAGAATGTGTTGCTTTATAACAGCTCCATAATAATAATACAACTTTGAGCTTGTGTCTTTCCATTATAACCAAATCCTTTGTGAGAATATGCCTGTGGCTTTCGATAAGCAAAACAAGTTATCATTTGGTTCATTGTCCAGTTCATTTGTCTATTGAATGTGGTTCTTTTTTTTTTTTTTTTACACTAATACTGATGGAACACATAAGTAAAACAACCAAAAATATGGAAACATATTGTCAGTTTTACTTATTTTTTATTTTGCTGTATGTCACTTTATTAGCCTGTGTAGCTTTATACATTTGACTTGTATGGTTTGTTTGTTTTTTTGTGTGCTTTTGTTTTTACATTTTGGCGCGATTTAATACTTTTCACGTGTGTATTGCAGTTTAGACTTTCTGCCTCTTCTTTTGTGCCTGCTTGGAATATTCACCCTATCTAATATTATACATGACTTTGTATTAATGAAACACATAGCTTACTGCTAACTCCTTATGAACAAATAATGGCCCTATCTGGAAACTCAAGTTATAGTGCAAGCTTCTTAGTTATGCTTTAACCAGAATTCCTCTTTGTTTAGTGTAATTTATCAACCAAGGTTATAACGTTCATTTAGAGTATGTGGTAAAATTCTACAGGGAATAAAAATGCTTTGCTGGGATCAGTAGGGGATCCCACCAATGCTTCCACTCTTCTCAATAGAATTACTAGCAATTAGTGATGTTCCGAACGGTTCGCCGAATGGTTCGCGAACGGTTTGCCTTGAACGGTTCGCCACGGACTCATCATTGAGTAAACTTTGACCCTGTACCTCACAGTCAGCAGACACATTCCAGCCAATCAGCAGCAGACCCTCCCTCCCAGACCCTCCCACCTCCTGGACAGCTCACTAAGAATGCAGCTTCAAAATGGATGCTGTCCAGGAGGTGGGAGGGTCTGGGAGGGAGGGTCTGCTGCTGATTGGCTGGAATGTGTCTGCTGACTGTGAGGTACAGGGTCAAAGTTTACTCAATGATGAGTCCGTGGCGAACGGTTGTTTGCGAACCGTTCGGGACATCACTACTAGCAATAAACAGGGTGTATGCAGAGATATAATCAGATTATTTTTATTTATACCATGTTAAAACATACATTGACTGGTGAAACAGACAATATTGTGTTAACACAATGTAATAGTGGAGATCAGCCTCCCTTATGGTTTGAAAAACATGCCTACATACATTATTAAGCTTTCTTAAACACAAGGAAAGAATATGCATGCAACATTATAACAGAAAATGTAAGCCTTTAATTCACCTTTAAAATATGGTATTAATCAATGTATAAAATGTGAATTATTATGTATTAATTAACATAAAATAGATAAGGTGTGCATTTACTAGTACAAAAAGTGTGATCATTTGTTTAAATTAAAGTATTACATTTTATCTCTGTTCAAACCTGCACATTCTAAGGGTCTCCAAATCGATAATTTATGTTAAAGGGACCCTATAGTCACCAGAACAACTACAGCTTATTTTAGTTGTTCTGGGGAGTATAATCAGTCCCTTCAGGCAATTTGCAGTTAACACTTGTTTCGGAGAAAAGACAGTGTTTAATATACAGCCTAGGTAAACCTCCACTGGCCACTCCGCATGTGGCTACTAGAGGTGCTTCCAGGGGCAGTGCTGCACACTGCAGCACTGCCATTCAGTGTCTCCACCCTCTGCATGGATACACTAAACTTTTCTCATAGAGATGCATTGATTAAATGCATCTCTTTGAAGAGATGCTGATTGGCCAGGGGTGTTTTTGACTTGTGCTGGCTCTGCCTCCTTGACAGTATCAGCCAATCCAATAGGAAAGCATTGTTATTGGCTCAGAGAATCACTTCTGATGATGCCAGCCAAGCAGACAGATCATGGGCAGAGCTAGCAGCAGACTTGAATAAAAGTAAGATTGTACTATATTAAGCAGGGCTTGGTGGTGGTTTTAACACTGTAGGAATACATTTGTGTTCCTGACCCTATACTTTAACTCCCGCTGGATTGCTCGAATATCTAACTATAGGATGCTAGAGTAATACCGATTTATTCTTCTAGATTGTAAAACTTGAAGAAAACATTGAGAAGTTGACTGAAAAAATACAAAGGTATGTTCATTATAGTTTATTTTTACTATCAACTCAAAGGATGTGTAATAGTTACAATTTGACTGAAACCTGGAGCTGTCAATAAGAATTTTCAAAAACTTGCTTCTCCTCACTCACATACTAATTATCCTGACCAGTGACTGGGCAATTAACATCTCATTTGATAAAAACCTTTTTCATTTTATATCCGACCTCTCCTATTTGTTTGTGCTATCCTCACCATTCCCTCTTCCATCTTTTCCCAAAATAACATATATTTTTCAGTTTATATTAGTTTACTATTTATTTAGGTCTTAAGTTTGAAAATTCTTCCAATCCACTTACAATGTTCTAAATTTTGAGGAGCACTGTTTATGCATTTTCACCTATAGAGAATTGAACGAAGTATAAAATGTTTTTCCTAGATCATATTTTCAGGCACAAATTTAATCTGTCATCTTGCAGTTGTTGTGTCACCCTAGTGTCATAAAATTACACGTAATGACCTCTATTCACCAACTCCCCAGTCTGGTCAGGATTTATGGCTCTGATTACCAGGCCTGTGGAGTCAAAATTAAAGTTGTGGAGTCGGAGTGTGGAGCAATTTTAAGTGGATTTGAAGTTGAATATAAACTATTTAAAATAAATACTATTTTATGAGGGCATGTAATGCAAATGCATTTTGTTTGCATAAAAAGGATGAGTTAAAGCTACTTATTGTGATTTTGAAACTAAGAGGTAATGCACATTTATTGGTGGGAGAGCATACACACATCTCTCTCACAGCTCTATTGAATAAACAGAGGCACATCCAACAAGTTTAAAACAAAATGTTTTGGTTTTCAGCATAGTAACATCCATTCCTATAAAATTCAAAATACTATAAATACATATCAAAAATCCCACTTTTAATTCACTACTACATACTGACCCTGTAACATTGAACCTAAATGTATTTGTTCAAATGCAGAAAAAAAATTACCTCTCTTCAAAACTTGCCAGCTTTATTTTATGTAGCAATTTTTTCGTTTGTACAAATTACTGCAGCCAATTATTTTGTTACTTATTGTTTTACAGTGTCAGCCAAAAACCTACCCCGTCGTCTTATCGAATTCAAGTTCCAAATACAGTAAAAACATCTAGCTCACGTAAGCAGACATCCATAAACTGTAAAATATGTAATTTTTGAGAGTATTTAATTAAAGGGTTACTATTAGTGATGTCCCGAACGGTTCGCCGAACGGTTCGCCACGGACTCATCATTGAGTAAACTTTGACCCTGTACCTCACAGTCAGCAGACACAGTACAGCCAATCAGCAGCAGACCCTCCCTCCCAGACCCTCCCACCTCCTGGACAGCATCCATTTTGAAGCTGCATTCTTAGTGAGCTGTCCAGGAGGTGGGAGGGTCTGGGAGGAAGGGTCTGCTGCTGATAGGCTGGAATGTGTCTGCTGACTGTGAGGTACAGGGTCAAAGTTTACTCAATGATGAGTCCGTGGCGAACCGTTCGTGGCGAACCGTTCGTGGCAAACCGTTCGTGGCAAACCGTTCGTGGCGAACCGTTCGCGAACCGTTCGGCGAACCGTTCGGGACATCACTAGTCACTATAGACTAGATTTGATCAGTAAGCAGTGCATTAAAAATATGTAAAAGCAATTAATATGTAAATAGTAATTCATATTTGAAGTTCCTGCCTTTCCTGCAAAACTCCAAAAAGGCAATGAGCTCTCAAACAAACAGGAAGTGATTGTACTACTGAGCTTATCCCATAAGAAGTGCCTTATGGAGAAAGCAATAGTTTATGGGAGTTGTAGTTTGAATGACAGTTTTTTTTTTTTAGTGTAGAACTGCAACTACAGAACTTCAGAAACCTGAAATGTCATAACATCATGTACAACAATATGAAAAAGGGAAACACGGCATGGAAACATGGGAAGAAAGCACAGAAATGGGGTGTGCTTATGCATCATAGTTTAGTAAAATATTGGATGGACGCTATAGGTAACCAGAGGACTTCAGCTCATTGTGGTCTGGGTGTAGTGCCCCTGTTCCCTTAACCCTGCAGTGGTAATTATTGCAATTTTTATAAACTTCAATAATTACCTGCCAAGGTTAAGTCCACCTCTTGTGGCTGTCTACTAGACAGCCCTAGAGGGACTTCCGGGTCGTTAGGCTACTTTTCGCTATGCATGAGAACATCCAGCGTCTCTTGAAACCCCATAGGGGAAAGCATTATACAATGCCTTCCAGTGGAGGAAGTCCTAATGCGGCATTACTTCCCCGGCGGGGGAGGAACAGAGATGGAGCATGAACCAGCGCCAAGGGACAACTGCGCTGGAATCAGGTAAGTGACAGAAGGGGGTATTAACTATAGAAAACCTGCTCAACATAACTTAAAGGAGCACCATAGTCAAACTATAAAAGCAAGAAAGACAGGTCCCCTAGCCTTTATTCTTGCTTTTATATTATTTTTCTATTAAAATTTGAGTGCTTTTTATCATATAAACTTACCTCCATTCCAGCGCCGAGCTCGTTGGCATGCCACGCCCCCTTTTCCAGTCAAAATGACAAAATAGCACTGCTCAATCAGACTCTCTTGGAGAAGCGTCATCGCTCTCTGATGCGCATGCGCGGCTTGCCGCTGCCACTCTATGAATGAACTGAGCGCTCTACCGCACATGTGTGCGGTATGCGCGTTTATCTCGCTGAGCTGACAGACAGCTCAGCTCACTGTTTAAGCCCGCCCCCTTCCTCCTGTAACTCTCATTAGCCCAAAGTTTGTGTACAAACACTATATATAGAGATAACTCTATATATAGTGTTTGTATACAAACACACACTTTGTTAGTAAATATTGTAAACATACACACACACACTATATCTATCTATATCTATTTCTATCTATGTCTATTTCTACCTCTATTCCTATCTATCGATCTGACTCAGTCACTCAGGCTCACACTCACTCACTTACTTTTACTTACTTACACTCTCACTTTTACTCACTGTCACTCACTTACTTTTTCTCTCTCACTTTTACTCACACTCACTGTCTCACTCTCTCCCACTTTTACTCACTATTTTACTAACTCACATTCACTTTCTCTCACTCTTACTTTTACTCACGCACGCTCTCTCACTTTTACTCACTTTCACTCACACACTCACTTTCTCACTTAGTCTCACTCACACTCTCTTTCACAATCTCACTCTCACTCATTCACTAGCACACTCACTCTTACTCACTCTCATTCACTTATTTAAAAAAAAAGTTTATTTACTGTTTGAAGTCAGTGGATCCTCCTGTTCGCTCTCCTGCCTTCAGCCTGTCAGCCAGAGCCGACCCATTTTCAATACCCTGGCTGAGGGAAGGAGGTTCTCACCCAAGATTTGGCGCTACTCCATCGTCCCTTTGATGTGGAGAAGTTGCCCTGTACTCTTAGCAGAAAAACACCACCAAAGCATAATGTTTCCACCTCCATGTTTGACGGTGAGGATGGTGTTCTTGGGGTCACATGCAGCATTCCTCCTCCTCTAAATACGGCAAGTTAAGTTGATGTCAAAGAGCTTGATTTTGGTCTCATCACCCAGTTCTCGTCTGAATCATTCAGTTGTTCACTGGCAAACTTCAGATGGGCCTATACATGTGCTTTCTTGAGCAGGGAGACCTTGCAGGTGCTACAGGATTTGATTCCTTCACGGCGTAGTGTGTTACCAATTGTTTTCTTGGTGACTATGATCCCAGCTGCCTTGAGATCATTAACAAGATCCTCCCGTGTAGTTCTAGGTTGATTCCTCACCGTTCTCATGATCATGGAAACTCCACGAGGTGAGATCTGGCCTGGAGCACCAGACCGAGGGAGACGGACAGTTATTTTGTTTCTTCTATTTGCGAATAGTCGCACCAACTGTTGTCACCTTCTCACCAAGCTGCTTGGCGATGGTCTTGTAGTCCATTCCAGCCTTGTGCAGGTCTACAATCTTGTCCCTGACATCCTTGGACAGCTCTTTGGCCATGGGATAGAGTTTGGAATCTGATTGATTGCTTCTGTGGACAGGTGTCTTTTATACAGGTAACGAGCTGAGATTAGGAGCACTCTCTTTACACTTAAAATTAACATATCACTATTAAATCACATTTTACAGGCTTACAGCACCACGTCCTCACAACTTTTTCCAATCAGCCACCTTTCCTTCCTCAAAGGTATCAAGAATAGATCGACTTCCAACTAAGAATAGCTTACCCTTAGACTGTACCATATTCAGGTACAGGTCATAACCATTGGATAACTCCTTTAATGTCCGGACTAACTCGGTCATCTAGTAGCCATTAACATGACACTCTAGACATGTGCAATTCGTTTCGGTCCGAATATGAATTCGGATGATATTCGGGCAATTCAGACATTCATGTACTTCCGAATGTCCGAATTGCTGAATTGCCGAAGTGCCGAGGTCCCGAAGTTCCGAAATTACCGAATTTCCGAAGCGCCGAAGTTCTGAAGTGTCAAAATGCCAAAGTGCCGAAGCTCAGTATTGCCTAACTACTAATATACTTACCCAGTGAAAGAAGAAGAATGTTATATAAAATTTAAGTTACTTAGCCAGTCAATGTAATGACAGAAATGAATAAGTAGATAACTCCCTAATTCCCACGGTATTAGGGAGCTATCTCAAAAAGGCTGAAAGACCTGAATTGGGGCAAAATTTACTAATACTAAGTAATTTTTACTTAGTATTAGTAAATTTGTCTGAAAGACTAATTTAGGTCTTTCAGCCTTTTGGTAGATAACTCCCTAATACCGTGGGAATTAGGGAGTTATCTACTAAGCGGCTGCAAGAGAAGTGCCGAAGTCCCGAAATTCCGAAATGCCGAAGTTTCGAAGTGTTGAAGTGCCGAAGTTGCCGAATTTCTGAAGTGTCGAAGTTCCAAAGTGCTGAAGTGCCGAAGTTCCGAAGTGTTGAAGTGCTGAATTGCCGAAGTCCCGAATTGCGAAAGTCCCGAATTTCGGAATGCCGAACTGAACCGAAAATTTTCCCCATGCACATGCCTATCACACTCTACGGCCGCCTCAGACTCCGAGAGTCCACTGTGGTCTATCAATGAATGTCAGCTCTGGTTTTCAAAACTATCTAACAGAACCATACATGGTGACCACCACGTTAGGTCTTGACTCTCATCCAAACCAACCACACAACTATCTACCTACAATTCCTCCGTATCTACAAAGAATCTCTGGGTTCTGGTTATATACTCAACTTATTTCTATCCCTAACACTTCAAAGACCGGGCAGATAGAATCCTCTGTTTACAGCACTTTACTTCACCTCCTGAAAAGAACTCAGGAAGCCTTTAAATGTCTAGCATTGTAATAAATTATGAATAAAGTGTGTTTTCTGCAATATCTTTTGCCCTCTTTATTACAGGCCTACCCGTAAGTTGGTTTCAGCACACCACTACCAATTTTCCCCCTTCCTCTCTATTTTCATATGAATTAAGTTCCGACTACAAAAATAAATAAATAAATATATATATATATATATATATATATATATATATATATCATTAAATACACATAAAAATACACTGCTAGACACACAAATGCACACTGCCAAACACGTGCACAGATTCATACACAGTCATACATACACTGCCAGTAACATACCGATATACATTGCCATACACAGAAATAAGCACTGCCACACATTGATGCACATAGATACACTAGACCCATCAGTAAATACAAAGTGCCACAAATACACTCTGCCATGAACAGATACACACTGCCACACACCCACTGCCAGCCACACACAAACATACAGTTACGCATGTTTTTAGACTCCCTCCTTCTTACCTGCCTTTTAGGTGGCTTCCCTGGGGTCTTGTGTTTGTGTTTTTTTTTTCCTACAACAATATTTCAGTAAAGCAGGAGGTGTGTATAATTGACAAGGAAATTGTCAATTTCAGAATTTAATATTCTCCAATTTAGCCCTTTCGGTTTAAATGTTGTAATCATCTTCACTCAAACATTCTAATACCATTTAAGCCTCTAATTGATGTTAATATAGAACCAGAAAAAAAACCCCATCAAAACGTTTCACAATTGAATAAATAAGTATGAGTTTATTTGTTTCCTGCCTTCTAACAAGAAACCAATTGACTCTTTTTTAAGTTTCTTACTCTGTCTACTTTTATAAAGATGTTTTTAAATCATATCATATTATGTATAGTACTAAGATGAAATGTTCACGGCTTTATAAGCCTTTTAATAATAGTTCTCTTTTTTTTTTATATGCAGTTGCACAATCAGAAATCAAGTCTGGTTATTCTCCCTATTCTCTTCCATTCCCAAGGCAACCTGCTTTTCATAAGTATGTATGTGAGGTGGTAGAGAAATATATTATTTGATGCTATTTTTTAAAATGGAACTTTCTTTTCCATACTGTAATTTATGTTATTTATAAAACTGTTTTTTTGGGGTTTTTTTTAATACATACAATCCAATTATGGGCTTTTTTCCAATCTTGTCACTACTTGTAGCTACTTTTAGCATGTAGCGGCTGTATACAGACTGCAAATGTTTACCGGCAGCAGCAGGGAGTTACATAGTAGGTGAATAGCTTTAAGTAGAGGCTAATGACTTCCATTATTCTCTACTGGAACTGCTACAGTTTATGACTGTTCTTCAACCTTGTCCCTACTGCTAAATGATTGCTGCTAACCTTCAAAACAGGAGTCAAGAATTTTGCCTTGTACAAAGAAGTTAACAGCCAACTCCCTGATATATCATGTAGGAAAAATGCATGTTAGCTTTATGGCTTTCCATTGAAACCCAATAAGCACATATAAGATCATATTAACCCATATCAAAAAGCTGTAAAAAGTCTGCTCATCACTTAAATAATTTAAAGAAACAGTAGTAAAATTAAGGAAAAAAAGCAGACATGATAAAGACATAAAATTATTCATATAAATTCATTTAAAAACTCAGTCTACCTACCCTCAACCTAAAACAGGGGCCAATATATCTAAAAACCTTTCCAAAACAATTATACTCACCATCACCTTACATCTGTTCTTCAGTCTCAAAAAGGGGCAAATACATTTTTTTTAAAATGCATGTTGCAACAAATGAAAAAAAAAAAAAAACTTGATGGGAATAAACAAAACATCAGAAAAATTCGGAACCGTTTCTAAATAAAAAGTACCCGGTAATCCATCTTCACCCATGGAGGGCTCCCCACAGACTTATATAGGCTTACACATGCTATCTCAGCTATTTAAAATTCCCACGCTTTGCAGTATGACCACGAGCACTTTGGTTAGTAAGTAAACCATTCAGAGTACTCTGACAGCCAAACCTTGAAAGAAATCTCACTTCTACCAAGTCATGAACTACTGGTAAATGTGTAACGTCCTGGAATCAGTGAGACTGTCCCAAATTCAGGGTCCTGTCCTATGTTTGCTCTCTGGTTTCCCCAGATGTTGACAAAAAAATTAAAGGCAAGCACATCTGTTGAGTCCCAAATCAAACACAAGGTATTGAGCCAAGCAGCACTGAGTAAGGCTGGTCAGCTTGACTATTTGTTATCCTGGTTTGCATTTGTGTCAGACATGACTATGAAGAACAACGTCCAACAGCTTTCTTCTTCATAGGCCCACCCTTTGTGACTGTTTAGAATAGGTCCTTATTTCATGGAATGTTTAGTTATTTTGCCGTAGCACAATAAAACTCCCCACAGAATGTTTGTGAGTGGTTGGACTTTCAAACCCAGTTAACTGGTTGGCATTCATAGGGTTAACATAACTGTAACTGATTTTATCTTAAAAATTAATTGCGTTTGACTGTATTGTGTGTGTATACATAAGCACGTGTGTATATTATATACGTTACTCTGTTTTAAAGGGACACTATAGTCACCTGAACAACTACAGCTTAATGTAGTTGTTCAGGTGAGATCTATAGCTCCCTGCAGGCAATCTAATGTAAACACTGTATTTTCACAGAAAATACAGTGTTTACATTGATTGATAGGAATACCTCCAGTGGCTGTCACTCAGACGGCCACCAGAGGGACATCCTATCATGTATGGCCCTAAAAATGACATGTACACGTCAGACGTATTAAAATACGTCTGACGTGTGGAGGAGAGAGAAGGCACTGTGTGCGCGCCTTCTCTCTCCTGCCTGTCAGCAGAGGAGAGGGGACGGGCAAAGACTGCGAGCTGAGCTGTCAGTCAGCTCAGCTCGCGGCCGCGCACACCGCGCGCATGTGCGGTAGTGCGCTCAGGACTTCATAGGGCGGCATGAATGCCGCCCAATGAACTATGTGCGCATGTGCGGCAAAGCTCGCGCCCGCCTATTTTGTAATTTTAACGAAATAGGGGGCGCAGCTTCACGAGGCTCCCGGCGCTGGAACCAGGTGATTAAAAAGGGCTGCCTGTAGTGTCCCTTTAATTAAAACTGGTCTAAGTAATATTAATATATTTAAATTATATTTAAACAGAGCTGGCATAATGGCCGTTGAACCAGATACATTGAAAAAGAACGTAAGTATGTTTTCTTAATTAAGCTTGTTGAGATTCTGTGTCTTTCCTCTTGAGTTGTGAATTCAACTTTTAATTGTTGGTATAATGGGAAATTATCCTTTAAATAACATAAATGTTTTATAGTATTTTAGTAAACTAACTCTTTGAGGTTACCACCTCTAAATAAATCTATGCCAACATGAGTGCTTTGCAAATGAACCGTGTAAAGGTGCAGAGGTAATTGATTCTCAACCCATGGAAAAGCAGAATTGCAAATTGACAAACAATAGTTTGTTTTAGCTACGGAAAGTAATATTATTCTTAATATTATCATTGCCATGCACAACTTTACAATATGATAAAGGGGTAAATTTAACAGATGAGACTAAATGCTTCAAATTTGACAGGAAAAAGATGTTGATTAGGACCCTACTCGAATGAGCTTAAAATCTAGTGAAGGTGTTTTATAAAACACATATGGAAGGGCAGTGTGGGGTATAGCAACCAAGTGACAGGGTGGGAAAGCAGTAGAATTAGAAGATTGGAGTGAAGAGATAGGTTTGAGGATTGACAGGTACCCTGGAAGACCATAGCATGTTCTGAAGAAATTGGTTATAAAGCACTTGTTAAATGATTAAAGTCTATAAAATATAAGCCTGGGAGCAGCATTCATTATGGACTGTAAAGAGACAGTATGGTTTCCGTAGAGACCATTTGGAAATTACAGTGTTTTGCACAAAAGAAAAAACATTGATTTTTGTGATTTTGTTTAAAAAATAAGAGGCAGAAAATATTGTAGAATACATTAAAATAAAACTATTTTTTTTATAGTTAATTCAAACATAGCAACCCTATACCTACTCCTCACCTGGTTGCCGCCACACACGGTTGACACCATCTGAACCAAATAAGCTTATCATGGTTTCATTGGACCACAGGACATGGTTCCAGTAATCCATGTCCTTAGTCTGTTTGACTTTAGCAAACTGTTTGCGGGCTTTCTTGTGCATCATCTTTAGAAGAGGCTTCCTTCTGGGATGATAGCCATGCAGACCAATTTGATGCAGTGTGTGGCATATGGTCTGAGCACTAACAGGCTGCCCCCCACCCCTTCAACCTCTGCAGCAATACTGGCAGCACCCATATACATTTATTTCTCAAAGACAACCTCTGGACATGGTTCAGAGCACGTGCACTCAACTTCTTTGGTCGACCATGGCAACCTGTCCTGTGAAACCGCTGTATGGTCTTGCCCACCGTGCTGCAGCTCAGTTTCAGGGTCTTGGCAATCTTCTTATAGCCTAGGCCATATTTATGTAGAGCAACAATTCTTTTTTTCAGAACTTCAGAAAGTTATTTGCCATGAGGTGCCATGTTGAACTTCCAATTACCAGTATGAGAGAGTGTGAGAGCGATAACACCAAATTTAACACACTTGCCTAACAGACGCAGATTGGGACAGAATCATCACCCACGTACAGAAAACACCAGGTTCGGCGAGACTCCAAGAAAACTCCTATAAAATCCTTACCAGGTGGTACATAACCCCATCCAGCCTCCATGCAAGAGACCCCCAGATCCCAGACACATGCTGGCGATGCGAAGAAGCGACAGGCACGTTCAAACACATCTGGTGGGAATGCGCTCGTATTAGACCCTATTGGGAGACGGTTCGGAAAATAATTCAAGACATAACGGACGAGGCCCTGCCACAGACACCAGCCGCCTTTCTTCTCCATCACACCACCATGCCGACACCGGCCTACTCCAGATCCGTCATCCCGAGACTCCTAAACGCGGCCAAGGCAACGATCCCCATGTTCTGGAAGCAGACGTGTACACCACCCATGAGACGATGGATAGAGGAAGTGGAAGAAGTGAGAAAATACGAAGATATGAAAGCAATCACCCCAAAACAAAAAGACAACTACACAAAACGCTGGTTCCACTGGCTCCGAAACATCAACACGGACGACTTCTTACAACACATATCCGAACCATAAGCAAAAGTGGGACGAGAGGCGCAGGGACACCCGGGGGAGCTCGGGTAGAGGTCCCGGGGGACGGCAGACCTGGAGCGGCGACGGGGAGTACGATCCCACCGACTCACGAGACCTCCCTCCCCGCACCTCAATGACCACACTAGACATGAGACAGAGACCACGACAACCCTCCAAACCCAGACCCACCAAGGCTTTGCCCTAACCGCACTCCAACAGGAAGCAAACATAAAGCTGGGGGAAAACGCACCACCCACAGACGCTCAATGAACCACTAATACAGCAACCCATAATCCGGAGACCCACGACCACCCATACAACCACACAAGACCCAACTACCAACCAAAGACAAACCCCAACCCAGAGAACCCACCCACCCACAAGAACACAGGGTACACACCAGGGACACATAACCCCTCAACAAGAGGGCCAAACTCACACAGGAACACCTGGCTCATAACGGGAGACACCCCCCCCTGGAGACACCAAGACAGGGAGGCACAGGAATTACACACACGAGAGCGAGAGCCGAGAACCACACAACACCCACTGCAGGAACCCATAGAAAGGGCCGGGCAACAGGCTAGCCATGCAGTAGACAAAGATAGACAGGGCTCAGATCAAAAGCGTAGTAGAAAAAGCTACTAGCAGACCCATACTTCACCAAGCCTAACGAATGCACCACCAAGGCCCACGGAGCAGTGATCACCTGGACCGCCCTGACACACCCGACCAACTACGAGTCCAACAACAGCAATATCCAAGGCAGCCACACTACACCCAAAAGGGATACATTACCCCCCAAAAAAAAAAAAAACACCTATCCCTAAGGACCCCGGGGAAACACACACAGGACACCGCAGACCTACCACACACCAGCTCGCACATGACGATATAAGGAACCACTACAGCATCATACCAGAACAGGCCAACGTTTTTAATACTAATATTTGAGCTACTGTGAAGACAGCACACCGACTACCATGATATGGTAGAGCAAAACAAACAATCAGCATCTGTACAGACATATTGCCCGCCACCTCTGTTATACGGGCAGAGCCATTGACCAGGCGATGTCGACGCACAAGCTTGAACTAAAAGTTTGAAATCAAAGTACATTAGCCTAATTAATATAAACGTGAAAATAAAAACAATTTAACACATAACACCTGCAGAAACCAACCAACACAAACACCAGCACACACCAGCTAACACAATACAAATCCACAAACCCGCTGATACAAACTACAGCACGACCAAGCCAACACAAGACAACAATATAAACACATTCACACACTTCTGCCAAAAAATAAAAAATAAAAAAAATAATCAAATCTCACAGACACATAATGGTAGCCCACACACCACCTATCGACATCATCACCAAATTTAGATAATGTTTCATATTAGCAGATAATCCATAGAATCAATACTGTTAAATATACGTAACATATGCTTTTATACCTAAACTTTTCCGCCCTACCAGGCACCGACTGTTTGAATTTGATTCATACTATGCTTGTTGGTAAATGCCTCTGACATCTGTTAGATAAGAATTGCTTACCTCCCCTGCGTGGGATGACCGCTTATCCAACATCGCAACTCTCACAACATGTGCCAAACTATTAGGCCAGAGGGCAAGAGTAATTCAAGCTCAACATACTGCTGTATACTTTATTTGAATATTTAGATAATGCCTCATGTTAGCAGATAATTCATAGAATCAATATCGTTAAATATACGTAACATATGCTTATATACTTAAACTTTTCCGCCCTACCAGGCACTGACTGTTTTGAAATTGATCCATACTATGCTTGATGGTTAATGCCTTTGACATATGTTAACTATGATTTGCTTACCTCCCCTGCGTGGGATGACCGCTTATTGAATGAACCAATAAAACAGATTTAAAACAAATTTAACACACTTGCTCCCTATTCACACCTGAGACCTTGTAACACTAACGAGTCACATGACGCCAGGGAGGGAAAATGGCGAATTGGGCCCAATTTGGACATTTCCACTTAGTGGTGTACTCACTTTTGTTGCCAACGGTTTAGACATTAATGGCTGTGTATTGAATTATTTTGAGGGGACAGCAACTTTCCACTGTTATACAGGCTGTACACTTACTACTTTACAGTGTAACAGAGTGTCATTTCTTCAGTGTTGTCAAATGAAAAGATATAAAATATTTACAAAAAATGTGAGCGGTTTATTCACTTTTGTGAGATACTGTGTGTGTATATATATATATATATATATATATATATATATATTCATATTGTTTAAATAAATGAGGCATCATGATATTTTGATTTTCTGTAGCATGAAACGGTCACTGGAGCAACTAGAATGTCCCTGATAAGTCCACCACAAGATGGACGTATGGGTAAGTCATCTACAAAATCAATGTTTTATTTTTTAAGAATTTATGAACTTCACTGAAGCTCATGGGCTCTCAGAAGCACTTTGTTAAGTGAAGTTCCTATGTTCCATTTTTTTTTCCCCCCAACATGACTAGGGCTATTTTATTAACTCACCTTAGTTCACAAAGTGATCTAAAATCTGGAAAAAAATTTGTAGTGTTTTACAAAATTATTCTTAACAGTAAAAAAAAGTTAATATATTATAAGTCTAATAGGATGGGATAAGCGTTACACAAAAACAAAATACTATATTTTCTATGTAACATAAAATACATACAGGGTTTTTTTTGTGTTTTTTTATTCTTTATTTTTGTCATGACAGAGAAAGCGACATGTCAATATTATATGGCTTGTGCAAAAGCTGAGTAACGGTAGTCACATCTTTTTTATGATACAGAAAGGAAAATCATTAAAACGTGTTAAGTTTTACCGGCGTTGTCGCCATCCGTCAGAGTTTTAGATTTGATATACACAACAGAGATAGTTAAACATACAGACACTTAATTGAGGGGAATACACGTGAAATAAATGTAGTAAATACAGGGACCAGTACCCTTAAGAGCATAGGCAATATCAGACACCAGAGCTGTGGTGTTATTATCTGTCGGGTGGCGCGGGACATGCCTGCGGGCATCCTCAGTAGTAATACATACATTTTTTAATTAGGAATTATAATTCTTTATTTTTGTTTGTGCAAAAAGTAACAACAGGCGAGCATAGCCACAAGAGCATCTGCAGACATTTTTCATTACATTTCAAAGTGTGGCAGTTAAAATGGCACAAATTTTTTAAATAACATGAGGTTAACGGGCTTTTAAACATCAGTGGTTTATATATTAGCATGCTAGACTAAACATATATATATAAAACAAGGTTAGTTGCGCTGAGGCTTCTAAATATTGAACATTGCATCGATAAACTAGACAGCTGTTATGATTAGGGTGAGATTACATTGTCGACTACAGGGAAATACCAGCAGATTCACCATCCGTTTGTACAAGCTTAAGGTGCCCCTTTAGTGAGGACTGGCTAATAAAATATTGCATGCGCTATTAGAGTGGAAACAAGGTAGGCACCACATTAGTAAACTGCAAGAGGTAAAGGTAAAATAAAGACATTGGAAGAACATCTGTTACTCGATGCTGAACTAACGGTCAGAGATCCGTTCCTGCGATATAAGGTATACTGTGAAAGTCCTGCTGTAACGAGACATGCCTGGCAGGCTCCGGTCTCCAGTCTGTGTTCATCCGATCCCTTCCGGTCGCCAGATGCAGTCTCCGGGAGCCCCTGTCTCCTGAGACTTCAGAGGTGTAGATATGACTAGATGCCAGGTATCTGGGTGGTAAAGTCGCGCTTTAGCAGTCGATCGGCATTGTCCTGGTGGGCATGGCGCCTCTAGTCCGCTGTGGGGTTGTTGCAGCTTACATTGGGGCTGTGTGCTTGTCATGGTGAAGGCTCTACGTTTCTGCTTGCGCCACCGGACCTGTTTTCGGTGTCTCTTTGGGGGATCTCTGGCGGCTATCAGTCTGCGTCCCCTCTTGGTGCCCGGGAGTGTGGGTGGTGTAGGTGCAAGAGTGGTACAATTAGCTTTAGCCGTGTTCAGTGCCCTCTCCGCAATCCTGGTCCAGAAGGCAGCAAAAATTGCATCTAGCTTAGTCAGGGTGTAGTTTGGCGATTTTCCGCTTGTCTCCATGTTTGCTGACTGGCGTGTGGTATCCGCCATTTTGGAGTTAGGGACTCGTGGTGTTTGCAGTCTTTGGGACATGAGTGTCAGCGGTGGGTATGCTGCTGGTGCCGGGATATCCCCCACCGGCAGGGGGGGGGGAGAAGGCTCGTGGGTGGACCTCCGCAGTGTCTGAGTTTGCTTTCAGGGGGTTCCGGGCCGGGCGATCGGCTGCCTCACCCATGCCCTCACCTCCGTCCAGGCCGCTATTCAGGCTAGTCGTCATTGCGGTAGGCCCCATCAATTCAGCCCGCATTCCTGGCGGCTTAGAGTTTCAGGAGTAACTTCTGTATGTTCTCCTTTGCAGCCCCTACCAGGGTGATGCAAATTCAAACACTTTTGCAGCATGAGAACTGGGGTTAAAAGTAAAGTAAAGTAGGATTTCAGACAAGAGCTCTTGCTGCACGCGTCTGATCAGCTCCCCAGCCAGGCTCCGCCCCCAATACATACATTTTTTAACCACTTTTAGAGCAAGACATGTGAGCTGACACCTTCAATGCTATAAACATTTAAGTGTCATAAAAACATAAGTGAATGCTGCTTGTTCAATACCAAGATTGAAACCTCTTTAAAGGGACATCTCATTGAAGTGATCTGGATGCAGTGTCCCTGTCCCCTTAACCATGCAATGTAAAACATGACATTTTAGAGAAAACTGTCTGTCTACCAGAGGACCCACAGAGTCTCTAAAAATCCGATAGGAATGCATTAATTCAATGCGATCCTATGGGTAAGGTCTAATGTGCGTGCGGCGCTCGCCATACATGCTCATTAGGTTCCTGAATCACTGTGATGTTGCCGGTGGTGGAGACTGACCCCGTGGGGAGGGACAGTGGTGCTGGAATCAGGTAAGTTTAAAAAGGCTTATTAACCCTTTACTCGCGAGTGGGTGTCGCAAGGGAGGGGGTCAGAGAGACACTAAAGTGCTAGGAATACAGATTTGTATTTCTAACACTATTGTGTTCCTTAAAGCAACTTGGCTGAAAGAAAATTTTATTCACCAGGTACCAAATAAATATAAAACAGTAATTGTATTCTGAAATGCACATAGATAAAAAAATATATATTAAAGGACCACTATAGGCACCCAGACCACTTCAGCTTAATGAAGTGGTCTGGGTGCCAGGTCCATCTAGGGTTTACTGTGCCTGCTGTAAACATAGCAGTTTCGGAGAAATCATTGACAGCCGCTAGAGGCGCTTCCGCGCTTCTCACTGTGATTTTCAGTGAGATCCACCTCCTGATAGTACTGTGGGCACTGTTCGCGCATGGAGCACGTCCTTAAAGGGATACAAGGCATGCTGTAACGTTGTACCATTTCGACGTTGTCCATATCACTTGGAGTACCTTGTTCCTGCACGTTTTGAGGTTGCAGACATGATGTATGCCAATCAATAATCACCTAACACTATTTAAAATATTTTTGCCTTTGTGATTTCTGTTTTCAGTACCTGTTTAGCACGTTCCTATAACTTTGTCTGTATTTTTGGTATTGATCTTGGCTTGTTTTTAGATATTTAGCTCTCCTCCTCCTCTCCGCCTCCTCTCCTCTTCCTCGGCTGAATGCGCATGCATTCAGCCAGTCTCATAGGAAAGCATTATCAATACTTTCCTATGGACGCTGGCGTCTTCTCACTGTGATTTTCACAGTGAGAAGCACGCAAGCGCCTCTAGCAGCTGTCAATGATACAGCCACTAGAGGCTGGATTAACCCAAATATAAACATAGCAGTTTCTCTGAAACTGCTATGTTTATAGAAAAAATGGTTAACCCTAGCTGGACCTGGCACCCAGACCACTTCATTAAGCCGAAGTGGTCTGGGTGCCTATAGTGGTCCTTTAAGAAAAAATTATTTTGTCATTTGAAGCAAAATTATATTTAAAAATGTTTAAATGAGCAAGATTGTTTTATAATCTTGAGCTGTATGATTTCACAATTTTCAGGACACATTTCAGGCAGAACTATTCCAGGTCCATTAAGGTAAGAAAACTGTTCTAAACTAATTTTTGGTAACTACTGCATAGTTCTTTCAAAATGTTAAAATCTGTGTTAAAGTAATAGACCAGGCAGTATAACCACTTTAGTGATTATGCTGCCAGTTTGACTTCTTACGGGGGGTCTGCCAGGTACTGATCACTACCTCTGCGCATGGAGCTTCCATTGACTCCCCTGAGTTAAACCATGCTTATTGTTTATTGACGGAGAGTGTCAGCTAGGCTCACAGTCAATGTGCTAAGCCATCTACTTCCAGGCTTGGCTCAGAGCAAACAGCTTCCAGCTGTCATGGAGGCATTAACCAACGTCGGACGCACCCTGGGAGGAAGTCAAACTATTAGCAATTGGCTTACATTGTCTGGGCGCCAGGGCCAACTTTATGGAGACTGTTTTTTAAATATTAGGAGATTATATATGGGGTAGATAAAAACAAAATGTGGCATAACTTGACTGCAGAAATGTCTTTTTGGACACTGATTAGTGCTCGCTAGACACAACATCAATTTAAAGACATATATTGACTTAGAAAACTAGGACATTAATTAGAGCCAAAAACCCTCATTGCACAAGTTCAGTTTTACTAAGATTATTTTGACCGTTTGTCCATGCTGCAGCACAGGAATAAAAAACATAGATAAATTATATTAAACCGCAACAATACAGCTCAAGGGAACCTTTAATGTGACCTGAAAGTGATTAGCACTGATCACTATTTGACCGACTGTAACAGCTCAAGGATCTGCAACATGAGAGAGAGATTTATTTATCATGCTGTGATCACACAGTACAGAGTGCGCATGCATACGTAGCAATATTTTGCCCTTACTCGAATACATATAAAACTGTGGAAATAAAATTATCCAAAACAGTTTACTAGATTTCCACAAGGTGGCACACTTCAGTAATATAATAATAAAAATACTGTTTTTGCCAATGTTTAAAAGTAGCTTGTACCAAATGTTTCAATATTAAACAATCACACTTGACCTCTATCACAGAATGGCCTAAAACATACATACAGGAGACTGCTAGAGGTCAACACCTGAAATATGAAGAAATAAAGAACAACATATTATGGCAAAACACTGTAAAGAAATGATTATTAAACTTTTTTTTTAAAGGGACTCAAGTGATTTACATGTTATTTTTAAAATGATCTCACTGACCTATTTGTCAGTCAAAATATAGTATGTGGCAAAATGAACTTGTTTAGACCATCCACAATTTTTATAGGGTTTTCCACAACAATGAGCAATGTAGAACAAACTGTTGCGATCACTTTAATAGGTTCTGTTAATTATGACAAACATACCTTGGAATACCATTTCATTTTCCCAACAAAGAATTTAAGTGATACTTATATTAAAAAAAGTATTTCATAGAAAAATGTTTTTTTTTTTACAGGTCATCTAAGTTAGGAAGCTCACAACAGATAAATGCCCTCCGTCAATTTTCACAAGACACATTGCAAGCAAACAAAACAGCCGCTTGGGACATGTCTACACAAAGGACACCTCAACTATACCAGCGAACACCACAGTCATCTCAGTCAACCGTGATAAAACACCCCATAAGTCTCAGTGGTTTCTTACAGAAACGCCCTTGAAGTTTAATATTCTTCTGTATTGTAGGTGAATTACTATCTTTTTGGATGTTTAGAGTATTAAGAAGAGATTTACTAAATCTGTTATGTTACTGTATTGCTTTTGGGTTTTTGTCATTAGACATTTTAAATAAACTTCGTTGGAAACTGTTCTTTTCCTTTGCTCTCATTTAAATGTATAAAACCCTTCTAATATTAAAGGTCCTGTTGAGTCACAGTTGGAGCTTCTGAAAACCTAGACTTGTTTATCTACTGTGTTATACTGAGTGAAATGCAGAGTATTTACTGAAGTGTTATGTGAATGTAGTCTCCAGATAAATCACTGGATGTGTTGATTGCTGACTCTTTGAACAGGTTACTGTATACCTATCAGAAAAGCTCTATATAGGCTTTCATAGCCATTCTGCTATTTTTGTGGATGATACTAGTTACGCCATTATTCTCATTCTTTAGCGCTTTCACAAGGCTACTTTTTGTAAGATTGACCAATTTTACTTTTATTGTATTTCTGTTAGCAGAGGACACTACATCTGTATTCTATACTTGTTTTCTTTAAAGGAAAACAGTTACTTCTCTGGAAAATACACATTTGAAAATCACCTACAGCTTTTGTATGGTGTCCATTGTCACATAGCAGATAGTGCAGTATTCATCTTACTCTGACTTTCTGATGCTCAGTGGTCAGAGTCGCTTAGTAAACTAAAACTGTTATAATGTTGATGCCACAAGATATGACACATACATATATACATTGTAATTTACTAAAAAAGAAAAACAACTTACAGTTTTTGAAATAATAATGTGTGGATAATTAGTGCAGCTAAAGAAAAGTAATTCAAAATACATATATTTGGAGCTGAGTATAAGCTCCAGAAAAGTGTAAGTGCATTTCCTTTTTCCTTATTCACCAAAAACAGAGGTCCTACATACTACACTATATTTGCATCTTTTCCTTTCTTCCTCCATGTCGTTTTGAGCGTGGAAACATCACTACAGGTGCTGCTTCCTGACGCTATCTTCTATACTTATATCTTACAAGGCTACCTAAAATCACCTATTTTAGCAAACAAACATAGGGATTTATTTCCACCACATGGCCTTATTGTGTTAATCCCAATAATCAAGAGTGATGATCTCAACCAATCCAATGCTTCCACTTTTCCATTAAGATGAAGTTGCCTTTGGTGTTTCTTTAAAAATAAAAGTTCCCTTTAATTGCCTTTTTTTTTTCTTTTCTGCAGATCTTTTCTATGGAGACATTTTCTCACCATGTAACATATCTTTTCCATGCGGTACATAAATGCTTTAGTGAAACTGTTTTAGTGTTTTGCAATGCAACATGATTTACCAAAAAGCATCACATATCACATGCCGGTGAACTAGCACATTCCAACCCGTGTTTACTGGAGATATTTTCGGCACACGTCTTAGATGACCATATACACAACAACAGATGCTAGGGATGATCCAATATAAAATCACCTGAGCACATAATTGGATTTCTCCAATATATAGTTTTTTAAATTAAATTATTTCCCAGAAGAGAGACATAAATAGCAATGATCCATGTTATATAAATCTATCTCTTCCCTACCAATTGTTTTATGGAAAATAATTCCTGAATGTATTATGGTTTTTTTTTTAAAATCACTAATTATTGCCTTCTAAAGTCAGGAATAACATGGTTACGTCAATACATAGTATTGCACAACTCTTCCCTATTTTCCAAGCATGAATTAGAAATACACAGTTAGGCAGAAATACATATTTAATAGGATGGAAAAAACACACGCTTGCATGTTTGTCTAAATTAACTCTTTTGCTATCAGTGAAACACAAGTGTTTAAGAGGTTAAACACAATTCACCATACATGTACCATTATCCTGAATGTCTCCTGCGCTCAATCCATGCACTCACTTCCTCTTCTCTGCAAAAACTCTGTGCCGAGAGAGAGAAAAATAAATGGACACACATAAAATAAGATGACTTTTTTGAAAACTGATCAGGTACCTGGAAAAATAATTACCATTGAATAGAACAGTGAAAATAACTTGGGTTAACCTTTTTTTCCATGTTATGTTCTGTTTTCTTTTACATTTATGTGAAAAGGTTTCGCAAATGACATCACAATCAGGGCCGTCTTTAATAACGAATGGACCCTGGGCAAGTGTTTGCTTGGGCCCCCTGGGCCCTGCCGCTCTCGTCCCTCACTCCCTGGTATGCAATCACGGCATCCATCCCAACGCAGTGGCGGTACTAAAGTAGAATTAATTTTATTGGGACCCCCAATTGCAAGGTTGGACTAAAGGTAGAACCCCATCTGTCGTGCAACTCCAACAATGCTTTGACAGCTGGGACTCTACCAATTTCCCATGCTTGCAGGGGTGTATTTAGCACTGAGCCATGTTTGTATGTTTGAATGTAAGCATGTGTTTGTATGGAGTATGTTTGTGTGAATGTGTTTGTATGTGGTACTGGAGTTTGAATGCAAGTGCGCATTTATGTGTAGTGTTTGTTTTTGAATGTAGGAGTGTGCTTGTATGTAGTGTTGACGTTTCAATGCAGGAGTGTGTTTTATATGTAGTGTTGAAGTTTTGAATGGAGGGGTGTATTTGTATTTAAAGTTGCGGCTCAGATGCACAGGTACACACTCTGACGCACAAGCAGATACACAGATACATACACTGACTACATACAGATAAACAGGCACATACACTGACAGACATACTGACACAGGTACATATATTGACACACACACACAGACACATACACTGTTAGACGTACTGACAGACATACTGACACAGGCACATATACAGACATACTGACACACAGACACATATACCGACATACTGACACACACACACAGACACATACACTGATCAACATACTGACACACATACACTGACAGAAATACTGACACCCACACACTGACAGATATACTGACACCCACACACTGACAGATATACTGACACCCACATACACTGAGAAATACTGACACACACACACAGGCACATACACTGACACACACAGACTGATATACTGACACACACACACACAGACATACTGGCACACAGACAGATATACCGACACATGCATACACATGCACTAACAGACATACTGACGCACTGACAGACATACTGACACACACATACTGACACACACCGATATACACACACACATATATACTGACACACAGACAGACAGACATACTGACACACACACACAGACATACTGACACACACACACAGACATACTGACACACACACAGACAGGCATACTGACATGCACAGACAGACTGACACACACACACAGACATACTGAAACACACACACACAGATATACTGACACACAGACATACATACTGACAAAAACACACACAGACATACTGACACACAGACAGACATACTGACACACATACACTAACACACATACACTAACACACAAACACTAACAAACAAACACTAACACACATACACACACTAACACACATACACTAACACACACTAACACACATACACTAACACACAAACACTAACACACATACACACACTAACACACATACACTAACACACACTAACACACATACACTAACACACAAACACACACTAACACACACATACACTAACACACAAACACATAAACACACATTTTTTTTTTTAAATGTAATCCCCCAGCCTCCTTACCTTTTGGAGTGCTGGGGGTATTCCCTGGGGTCCAGTGGTGCTGCTGACCCCGGCGGGCAGGTGGCCGGTCGGGCAGGAAGGCGGGCGCGCGAGGGAGCACTCACTGCTTCCTCTTCAGCTCCCTCGCGCGCCGCGTAGGGATGCCGGCGCCGGAAGATGACGCCATCTTCCGGCTCCGGCATCAGTGCGGTGCGCGAGGGAGCTGAAGAGGAAGCACTGAGTGCTCCCTCGCGCGCCCGCCTTCCTGCCCGACCGTCCACCCGCCCGCCGGGGTCAGCAGGGCCAGCCTCGGGGGGCCCTGGGGTGGCCGCCTCCTGGGCCCCCCAGGGGAAGACGCTGGCCCTGTGGGTGCATACCAGGGTCGCAGCTGCGACCCTGGTATGTACGCCACTGCCCTAAGTGCATGGGCCACCCGGTGGGACTCAGAGGATGGGGGAAAAAATAAATTGATGAGGGCAGCGGGGCCCACGGGGCAGGTGCCTCGGGCCCCCCAAGAGAAACTGGGCCCGGGGCAGCTGCCCCGTTTGCCCCGCGTTAAAGACGGTCCTGATCACAATCCAGTTAAGACAAGGCAAATACATTGTTTAATTTTACCACTTCTTGGTATGTTTTCCCTATGCTGCCTGCCAGATGCAAAGGACAGAGCTTCTAACAATGACTGACTAGGAGCTAAGATGGAGGATAAAGAAGTTTGGATTTCTACATTTCATTTTATTGTTAGACTCTGTAAATACATGTTTGTTAAAGCTGCACTGGCACCAGGGCCGGACTGGGGAAAAAAATCGTCCCGGGCATTTTTTATTCACAGCAGCCCACTGAAAAGGGGCGGGGTCATATAGGGTGTGTTTGGTCATCCCCAATGACAAGCACGCCCCATCTCAAAGTGAGCATATTGGTTCAATGCTCTTCCAGGGCACGAGAAAAGAGCCCTGTATTTGTTCTGCACAATGCAAGCAAATTTAATAACATGCTTGCCATGTGTTTGCTTGAAACTGGGTTTCCATAATTGGGATACTCACTGTATCCCATTTATGGAGACACTATGTGTTTGCTTACATGGAATCTAGTGTGTGCGTAGGGGATCCAGAGTGTGTATGTCAGAAATGTAGTGTGTGTGTAGGTGGTGCAGCATCTGTGTGTAGGAGATCTAGTGTGTGTTTGAAGGACTCAGGAGTGTGTATAGGAGATCTAGTGAGTGTGTGTATAGAGGATTCAGAGTGCATATAGAGATCTAGTGTGTGTATATCTGTAGATGATCCAGCGTTGGGTAAGGAATCTAGTGTTTGTCTGGAATTTAATGTGTTTAGGGGTGCAGTATG